CACCGTCATAGCTCAGTTATGGTCGCCCCCGCGCTGGCAAAGGTGGAAGGCAAAACGGCCAAGGTGGTGTTGCCCCCAGAGCTGCAGACCTATCCAAGACAAGGACAAATACGCTTTAGAGAACACGATGCAAACACTTTTTGATTTGCCCACCTGAACTGTGCCATCAATGGCGGTGACTTTGGTGATCTTGACCGTCTCACTCTGTCCGGAGGCGTCTTCATCCCAGATGCCAACAACTCTGCTTCTGTGGGCGCCTTGATCAATGTTTCCTCCGTTTGAACACCTGCGTTTTTCTTGCCTGGTCGAATCTCAGAGATAGTGCTTTTGCTCACCAGCCTCTTTTTAGGAAGCATGAGGACCTCGTTCTGTTTGTTCTTTTTCCAGGCCTGCCATCCGGACTTGCCAGACCTTGTCTTCTTCGGTGCTCGTGCAACAGCCATCTGAGAATCTTCAGCTTTGGACTTGAAAGATTTCCCCATCTTCACGTCCTTTGAGCCTATGGCTCCAAGGACAAACTGGCACTAGCACTGCATGACTCTGACAATGACAATGACCTTGGAAACTGACTGAATAGTGACAAATTTTACAGTAACAACACATCCTGACGTGCACTGCAGAAATGAGTATCATGTGCATGGACAGGTCAATCATCGCATGACTGCACATGTTCAACAATGACAAGCAATGACAAGCGGCAGTGACAATCCGTTTAGAGTCAGCATCCGAGGATGCAAGCAGCACAAACCATGCCAAACAAAGCTTTTACCTGCTCAGCTGGTCTGGGTAAGTACGGTTGAAATGGCAACATCCCACCACTGCTCTAGCACAAAGGCTTTGGTCTCGGATGCCCCCTTGGGCAAGGGAGCATCCGACACCAAAGCCTTCGTGCCCAACTTCAAACATTTCAGTTGTCCCTCAGACACACAAGAGATCCAAGCTAAGAAAAAACTCTTTCAAGTCACAGTCGGCTGCAGTGTGTATCCGCTCACCTTAAGTGAGACATGAGAATGTTAAAAACTAGAAGGACAACACCTGGCCTGTGCTCTAGCACGAAGGCCTTGGTCTCGGATGCCCCCTTGGGCAAGGGAGCATCAGACACCAAAGCCTTCGTGCCCAACTTCAAACATTTCAGTTGTCATTCCGA